TCAGAGCGATATCTCAAAAACTAAGTTACTAGTTCGTGTATATACATACGTATTATAAACTTCGTGGCAACTTAGGTTATATTATATTTGAGAATATAAACATTAACTTGCGAAATAATGAACACCCTAATGCATATACACATGTGTGTGTTTAACTTGCATTTCTGTTTTTAGTTAGCACGTTTTTGTTTACAATCTACTCACATGTCACATTGAGATGTGGTAAAAATTTTAAATGCCATTTCGCAAATAAATTCCCAGCACGCGTATCCGCACACATACACACGCATTTACTTTGAGCAACGCACGCTCGCAGACATTGACACAGGTCTTGCGTTTCAAATGCAGCAAGCGGAAACTGGCAGCACTTTATGCTAAGATGGCTGAAAGGAAGCCAAACATCCAACAACACTCTGAACGAACTTTGTCTGCCAAGGCAGTCAGGCAGTCAGCGAGTGTGACAGCTAGCCAAGATGTCTATATGTGTGTGTGTGTATGCGCTTAGGTGTCACGCACTAGCAGAGTTCGGAGGTGTTTGCCGTGCTTGTGTATATATTTGTATATATGTTGGTATATATATTTATGTTTATATAGGTTGCAGTATGTCCGTATGTCTGCTTGTCGAAGGAAAAACTCTTAAAGCTCATTGCGGGATGTTGTGAGTATACAAATTAAGGGATGTTATATGTGTATACACATGTGGCCATTCAATTTTCGTGCAATACGTCAAAAGAAAGAGAAAAAAAGAAAAACACTAAATTAAATAATTTTCTACTGCCTAATTTTTCACTTCCTTATTTTCAACTCAAAAATTTCCACGAAAAGAAGTTGACCAGCCGAATTTATGTGGCAGGCATATGTATGACGCGCAACATAAAGGTACACACACAAATCTTGACATTGCTGCCGTTTATAAATTGATTGCCTGGTTGAAGTTTTTTTGTACCTTTTAACATTTTTTCAACACAAACCACGAAGCATTGCAAGCAAGTTTTAACATTTTCCACTTCATTTCACACACAAGAAAACTTTTAATATTGTTTAGCATGCTTTTAGGCGTTATTTCTATTCCGAATTTTTCACCAAACACACTTACACATATATCTTTTTTATATTTTTTCAACAATTTTTTTGTTGTTTTTTTTTCTGTTCACAAATATTTGTTGTAACACAATTCGTTGTGCGAGTTATCGAGTCAGGTGTTCATCCTTAACTATTCCAAACGAAAGACTGAATCTGGAATTTGACAGGAACTTGCCATTGCAGCCAGCAAGATGGATTACTTAATATTATAGTTGTGTGCTTTTTTTTTAGGCTTTTTTGTTGGTGCAAAGCAAAAAGCTCGTGAGCGTTTAATAATTTCAGAGCGCATACGGCAATTAAAAGCTCCAAGGGAACATCAAACTCAATGCAGCACGCGCGTTCAATTGCTCGGCTGTCTGTCTGTATGTTTTTGTTGTTTGCTTGTTGTCGGCTGTTGGCTTGTGGCTAGTTGCCTGCCAAAAGGCGCGAATACCGCATATAAACAAACACAAATGGCACGCTGGCAGGAAATTGTGATAAGCTAGAACATATGTTGACTGCGCGCTCTCACTCTCTCACACTTTCTCTCTACGCGCTTATGTTTTTTTTCTCTGCGTCGCTCAGAGAACTCTTGTGTACGCGTAGCGGATATGAATGAAGTGTTCATGTCCTTGTAAAGTGACTTGTGTGTAAGAAATTGCAAATGAAGCAATAACAATAAATATTAATTTGATTATAGTTGCTTAGACATGCAGTGCCCAGAGCGCATTCGTTGGCTGTCATATTTCTGTCAGCAGTTGCCAGCGCTTATAACTTATACAATTATTCTTTATATACCTATATACATGTATGTAGCTACATATGTGCATATAGTTTGTAATGCTGCCCTAATGATGGATGATTTTAATTAACCGTTAGTCGTTAAGTTGGCGCTATAAACAGCTATTTTTAGTTGAAACCCGTTAAATGATTAAATAGCAAATAAAATACTAAAGTTAGCAATATTTAAGAGTTGGGTAAAGCGAAATGACAGAATTTTAAAGTTTATCGCCGTAAATTAATCGGAAAGCTTTGGTCCAACAGCCGTCGAAAATAAGTTAGAGAACTAGCTCCAAATCGGAACTTAATATCGTACCGATTATAAAGATCCAAAGGCAAATCTCCCGTAGACGAGAGGAATAAAATCTACGCTATTTTGTGAAGCTTTGAAAAGGAAATATATATAAAACTTTTCGAGAGAGACTGAATTAAAGAAGAGATCATAAAATTCTGTACTTGAATAACGAAGATCTTGTCTCTACCAAAATATGCCAACTTTGGCCAACCACCTATCTCACTACAAACACTAAATGGTCGTGGGGTTTCTGAAGTCGAGTCTGGATAAGTTAAAACCATTGCTATTCACATTGCTGACCCACGAAGTAAATCGAACTTTTTGTTAATAACGGTGGTTTGATAAGAGAACGAGTTATTGATCTATATTCTCTCTAAATGATACCTAATAGTATCCACTAGAATGGATCGGTTCTACAACTATGTTTTTTTAATTTGTCACCTTGTTCTGATATAAACCATATTCCAGTGAGGGCGTTCGGCATCGACCGGTACAAATGGTAGTGAGAAGTTGCAAGGTCTGGTCTATAAGACGATTCAGGCAATACTTACCAGCTGCTGTACTCCAAATAGTTTTTAACCGATTTTGCAACATGAGGTCGAACGTTATAATAATGGAATATGGATAGCAATAATTTTTGTCTCGTATCTTGTTGCGAATTCCAGAGGTCTTTCGGCAATCGCTCGCTTAAATTTGATGACTTGTTGTTGGTAGCGTTCCTCATTAATGGTTTTATCGGGTTTTAAAATTACGCCCCACATACACAGCATGACCTTGGTATCATGGATATAATAGTTACAATCCGATGCAAAAGCGACTACTTTTTGTAGCAGTCAAGCAGAATTTCTGACATGCAAAAGCGTCGTTCAACGTCTCTTGGCGGCAATTCATATGGCAGCGAATTTCTTTGCTTTTGAATGTATCCGGCTGCTTTTAAATGTTATGAAATGGCTGCTTGAGTGACTCCCACAGATTCTGCGAGCTCTTTTTGTGTTTGGCAACAATCTTCATCGCATCGAGTAATGCTTCCAGTGCCTCATTCTCCAACCATTTTGACCGCCCAAGACGTTCTTCGTCTTCCAAGCCACTTTTAAATCGTGCAAGCCACTTTTGACACGCGCGCTCAGCTAGCGAATGTTCATCATAAACTTCCATCAAAATACGCTGACTTTTGGCTGATGTTTTCTTCAGAATAAAGTAATGAAACTTCATTCTTAATATGAAACTAATGCAAAAACACTTCTTCAAATACAGAGTCCGACATATTTCAGTGAAAAAAAAATCGAATTTAAATGCATAACATATACGAAAAAGACGCACAAGGACAGTAGCTTTCTAACGCATATTCGGAATGGAATTGGAAAAATGGAATAACAATCAAGTTACGCCAACTCTCGGCAAACCGCACGAATATAGTTATAGATCCAATATAATTGGGACACTAAAAGTTCGTTCTAATAAAAAGTTGTTTTAATGCGTACCTTGTTGCATCGTGCTTATAACTTCACTTCTTCTCTTTTTCTCAATACTTCAACTATAATTTTTCCACTCTTCATAAACTTAAAAATTGAAATGAGCCAAATAAAATACAAAAATTGATAGTCTTTATAATATTGTCCGATTATTTATTTGTATTACTTCAATAGAGTTCTTCTTACTGTTGTTGCTTTGTTAAAACTATTTGCCATTACTGTTATTTACTTGCTTGTCCTTTTTCTCATTTTGTTTTTGCTGATTTTTCAAATAGGTATGTATGTATGTATTGTAAGTTTTATTGCTAATTACTATTATGTTTCATTTTATTTTTTTAGTATTAATATTGTATGTAGGTATGTATGCATTCTTGTTAGTTTCAATTTTCCATTGCCACATAGTTTATTATATATTTTTTGCATAGACTGTTTTTATATTATTATTATTTTTCAGTTATTTTCTTCATTCCTTTCTCATATACCATATATGTATATGTAGGTTACTTTATTTTTATAACTTTTACAATTAGAACTAATATTAAGTGTGAATTAATACAAAAACAAAAAAAAAATAACTAAATTATAAAAAAAAAGAACTCATACAATTTCACATTTGCCACGTGGTTATGCTTTTTTAAATTTAATTTTAACTACATATATATTACGGTGCCCGTTATTTTTCAAATTGATTAGTGTTTTGCAAACGACCGCTGAAGTTTCAGTTTTTACCCTAAAACTAAGCGTCGCAACGACGCAAACAAGCTCTTTATTTTCAATTAAACATGGGATTTTTTGATATTTTACATTAAGGATTTTTATTAGTCAAATACAAAATTTCCGCTCTGCAAAAAAGGCTTTAATGTTTTTTTTTTCATAAAACCACTCCTTTAAAAGTTATGCAACAAATGACCTGAGCATTCTTACAAGTGATTTATACATTCTATGTTGCTCATACGGCATGGTGTACTATATGTTACAGTACATTTGATGCATAAATTTAACTGCGTATAACTTTTAAAGGAGTATTTTTATGAAAAAAATGTATTCACACCTTTTTTGTAGAGCGGAAATTTTGTATTAGATTATCCTATTTTAAAAGTTGTAGATTTATTTGCTTTGGAGATAAAAAAATGTATTGCGAAAGATCAAAAAATCCAATTAAAATTTATGGAAAAGTAAAACGATTTTAGCAACATTAAGTTGAATCCTTTGCAAAAAAAAAATAACTTGGGAAATATATATATATTAGAAAACCGAAATGTGTGGGATTGTGGTGGAGGAATAGCAAACATTCGTACCTCTCACAGCAGCGCATGTTTTGTGGCAAACAGGTCGGCGCGTCGCTATATGACTTGGATTAAGCTAAACACTACACAAATAAGTCAATTACATTTTTGTTTGTTAATATAAGAATTGTTTAAATTTAATATGTATTTTGCATTTTACATTCACACTAATTAATGTACCATCGTATGCAATAGTTGATTTCATCAAATTATCTACAATTAATTAATCTTCAAACGAGAACCTAACAGCTTATCGCGGCACGCATCAGTGTGACGACGATTTATTTGGAATCCAATAAATATTACACTATCATAACAAACAATATTGCGGGTTTAGTACACTGTTGTTGTTGTGGTTTTATCATAATTTTTGTTAAATTTCTTTTAAATATAAATTTAAATTTATTTAGGTATGGAGTTACTTTTTCTTTTCTTTTTAAAGAGTTATATCGCTTAGTTGCGCATTTGTCGCAATTTCTAAAATATTTGCTATATGCACATGTTCCAACGCTCCAATCTGGTATATTTATTATTTAAATATCATAACATTTAGATATTTTGTTGTTGTTGTTGTTTTTATTTAAAATCAGTCCATGTACCATTGTGTTCGTTTACTTCTTATTTCTGCGAAAAAAAAGAATATAAATAATTCATTAAAGTTGGGTAAACATTTTCAGAGCAACCACTCACCTGATAGCCCTGTCCATAATATTGTTAATACGCGTCTCTGAATAGCCTGGAACTAATTTGTGAATTATCTCTTTGAGGAACAAATCACTGACACCTGGACTGCTACGCTCGGCCAATTCCAATACTGACTTTAAGTCACCAATGTCCGTAACGTTTGAATTTTTGCTTGAATTGGCGTACTTTCGTTGAATCTGCGAAAATATACAATAAAATTTTAATAAAAAAAAAAAAACAAGAACGAACGTTAAATTCGTCTGTAACAGAGCTATAATAGCCTTCACATATGAATTTTTATAGCAAACAGGTGTTTAAAAAAATCTGTATCTTGATTTTGATCGGTCAGTTTGTATGACAGCTATATGCTATAGTTGTCCGATCTAAACAGTTTCTTCGGAGCTTGTAACATTGCTTTAGTTAAAAATCTATGCCACGATTCGTGTTGATATCTTGTCAAATAAAAAAGTTTTCATGCAAGCACTAGATTTTGATCGATAAGTTTGTATGACAACTATATGCTATAGTAGTCCAATCTGACCAATTTATTCTGAGTTTTTAGCGTTGCTATGAATAATAATTTATGCCAAATTTCATAAAGATAACATGTCAAATAAAGAGTTTCCCATGCAAGAACTTTATTTTTATCGGTCAGTTTGTATGACAGCTATATTCTATATTCGCCCGACCAGAACAATATGCTCGGAGATTGTAGCATTGCATTGGACAAATAAAAAGGTTTTTCAAACAAGGATTTGATTATGATGTAAAAGTATGTATGACAGCTATATGCTATAGTTGTCCGATATCCGACAAATGAGCAGCTTCTTGGGGAGAAAAGAGCTTGGGCAAAATTTCAGTTCGGTATCGTAAAAACTAAGAGACTAGTTCGCGTATATATAGACAGACGCCGGGTATATTGAGCTTCAAGGTATAAAAAAATACTCATTAATTTATGAAAAAATCAAATCACTCACATCCGTAAGGACTGGAAAGAGGAAATTATTCAGACATGCGCTATTCGTCTGCATCACACGATTGCCACCCAATTTGTGATTGGAATTATTGGACGACACAGTTGTGGCGGAGGCGGACGCCGATGCAGACACCTCCAATGCCGCACCATACGATGAACGTTCACCATGCGTACTGCTATTCGACAATGCTGCATTGCCATTGTAATTGCCACCACTCGAGCTAGAGCTAAGCATCGGCGACGAGTTGGATGACACGCCGCTGGCATGCATACTACGCCGCTGCGCACGCGACTCTTCTTCACGCAGTTGATCTTCACTTTTGGCATGCTCGATTAGCTGCAAAGAATGGATGTGGATTTTTGAGTTTGTTGCAAATGCTTATTTCATATAATTCATATGACCTACCGATGAGCGTCGCTGTTCGTGTTCGTCATCTAGTGAAGCGGAACGGCTCTGTCTTAGGTTCAATTTGGACTCCTGGAAGACCGCATTGCTGCTGCTGCTACTGCTGATTTTCTTCATGCCATCAGCATTTGGTGAATTGTTGCCACTCGAGGAAGATAGCAGTTCTTGGCTACCTGACGACTGCTTATGTGTTGGACTGAGTGGTTGATGCGTTATATTAGAGCTGGATGAACGTATAACGCCAGCCGAGGCCGCTGCTTGTTTGTAGTGATTTAAGTTGGTATCGCGTTGCGTAGCTGCGGACGATGACGATGATAGCATAGCTGTGCCAGGCGGACTGCCCGCCATGTTGTCGTGCAATTGCTGTTGTTGTGATGTGGCGGACGGTGACAACGCTACCGAAGTAGCGCCACTACCCGGATAGTGTTTGTTGGCCGCATTAATTGCTAACGGCGTTGCTCCGCTGCTTTGTGATAATTTCTGTGCTATTTTCATGTGTTCCATCTCCTTAAAGCTGCTATTTGCAATCGATTCGCGTGGTGCATTATTGATGCTGAGCCCTTTAACGGTCATTATCCATGGTTCGTCATTATTGCCGCCAGGTTTCGATTCGTCACTGTGCATGAGAGTATACGAAAAAGTTAGAAAATATTTAAAGCATTAAAATATAAACATATATTTACGAATCTGAATTCTCCGATTCGGTTTCGCTTTCATCACCCTTCTGCAGCTTCCATTTTTTATAACGATCAATTAAATCGATAAGGTACGAGTTCTTCTTGGCTTTCTTGATAAAAGGATATTTCAATAGTTCCTTGGCTGTCGGTCTCTGTAAAAGTGTAAATGGAATTTTAGCTACAATAAATATATTTTTAGAATACACACATTTTCAGGATCCTTATTAAGGCACGCTTCCACAAAATCTTTGAACGATTTCGTATAATTTCCCGTTAGTTGTGGAGGATTATTTTTCGGTATCAAAAATAAAACTCTCATTGGATGCAGCTCCGAATTGGGCGGTTCACCCTTGGCCAATTCAATTGCCGTAATGCCCAGCGACCAAATGTCCGCTTTGGAATCGTACATGGATTGCTTTATCACTTCAGGTGCCATCCAAAATGGCGTACCTACGAATGTATTACGTTTCGACGTTGTGTTCGTTAACTGGCCGGCAACACCGAAATCAGCCAACTTTACATCACCCATTTCGCTTAGCAATACATTGGCCGCTTTGATGTCTCGATGTAATTTACGTTCCGAATGCAGATAGTCCAGACCCTTGAGCACTTCTCGCAATATTATTGCGATGTGCATTTCCTCGAAAGAACCAGCTTTCATTAGATCCAGCGCCGAACCGCCGCCTAAATACTCCATAATAATCCATAGCTTTGTACCCTGAAATGAAATTGCAAATAAAATTTAAATTATTTTTGTTTTGAGAATGGACTTTAAAAAATAAAAACCTAGACTAATTGTAATTGAAATTAGTGACCTCCTTCTATTGTACTTACTTAACTTAAATAAAAATTATGCAAGATTCTTATAGATGGGATCCTAAAAGTATGAAGAACACACAACAGCCGGTTCTACGTTACCGGAATTGACCCGAATTTTATCCGGTCAAGCACTGTTATTCACTCCTTATATCTCGCTTTTTATTTTTGAAAATAAATACTTGTTTATCGTCATTTGGTTTTAAACTATTAGAAACCCTTTTGAAGTATTTTTAATACTTAGCTGCTACTGTTATAAATACTTCTTGTTTATAAGAAGACATAAATAATAAAATCGCACTTTTGCTAGTGGGTTTAAAAGTGTACTCCACCAACAGAATTTAACCAAATAGAAATTGGTATAAAAAAACGGTATAAAGTGATTGTGCTCTAGAAATTTGTAATATGTATTAAAATATGTATTTACTTTTAAAAGCAGGAAGGGATTTGATACGTAATTTAATCAGGCATTCAGCTGCTTTCTGCATACGCTTTCTAAAATCCCCAGATTGGTAACTCGGTTTTATATTATTCAGGTAAGGCATTAGAGATTTTTTAGCCTTAAATAAGTAGTTTTTATTGTAGTAGTATAAATAAATAGAGCTCAGTGAGAGAGAAAGTAATGTATGCTCGTTGGTGGATCATAATATTTGGTATAAAAATTTGGTATAAAGTGTATGTAAACCAGAAATGTTTAAAATATGTATAATGAAATATTTAATTCAGCCAAAATTTCAAGCAAATCATTTACATGGCAGAATTAGTAGACATAAAACACTCGGATAATCTTTTCATTATCCCTAGAGCGGACTTTTTAGCTTTTCATAAGCAGTTTTTTGTTTTAGTTCCATTGGTGGATAGGTAGATTTTCTATAAAATATCTGGTATAAAATGCAAGTGCAAGAGAAATGTTAAATATTAGGCCAGTACTCCGAACAAAGAAGTTGGTCTTTAGTGGGCAAATCCAGTGGGACACTAGGATAAGCTTTTTAATAACCAGAGAGCGGCAACTCGGCTTTATATAATTAAAGATAGGTATTTCAGATTTTTGAGCAAAAAAAAAGTTGTGTAAGTTTTGTAGAATAAAACCCAAGTAGAACTCAGTGAAAGAGAAAACAAGGTATGCCCATCGGTGGGTCGATAAATTTGGGATAAAATATCTGATATAAAAAGCAAGTTAAAAAAAATATTACGTGAGGAATCCGAGAAAATCAGTCATATGGGCAGAATACACTCAGTAAAGCTTTTTAATACGAGTTCAGATACTCGGTTTTGACTATTATAGCTATTTTCTCTTTGCTAATTTAAACCTTGTTCAATCTAAAATATTTCTTCATATTTTCTGTATATAAGATATGGTATATGTATAAGTTGATACAGAGTTATTGTCAGAAAAGCTAATTGCCACATATTAGATCTTTGCAAAGAGAAATTAATCTAATTCGAATGAGTCCGAAAAAGATCTATGAAACTTAAGATGTCTGCTGTTTTCGTAATAGCATTAAATATAGTTTTGTGTAACTTCGATATAATTATAAACTCTGGCAGTTCGTTGTAGTACACCTAAACTCTTCACAAAATGCTTACCTTAAGGTACGATCCATAGTACTTCGTAACGAACGGTGAGTCACATTGTGACAGTACCATAATTTCCTGTTGTATATCTTCGATCTCATCTTCCGCCTCTTCCAGATCAATTATCTTGATAGCCACGACCTAATGAATAAAAAATGAGAATTTTAAAAATATGTGTAAATGTGTAAAAATCATTAAAACAAACCTGTTGCGTTCGATTGTCGATGCCTTTGAATACCTCGCCGAAGGAACCTTTCCCGATCCTTTCTTGCTTCGTAAAAATTAGCTCAGGATCCACTTTCTACAAATACAAATACAAGAAGAAGTTAATTAAAATTTTGTTACATATTTCCACTCGAAAAATTAATTATATTTTCTTAAGTACACGCACTGTATTTCATTACTCAGTAAACACAACAGTTATATTTGCACATATGTTACACATACAAACACACGTTTAGTATGTGATTTTATGTATGTGTATACATGTGTTTATCTGTAAACATGTGCAAAGGTATTTACTTATTAGCTTTTGATTATGTCACTGGTATTTTATCTCAGACAAAGCAAACCGATAAATACTTGAGCTGTTTGGTAGCCAAGCAGTCGATCCGTTGTGCAATTAAAAACAAAAATACGACAATGTTATCATTAATGACCGCGACATTAGGAAAGCACAGTGCGGTATAAATGACATGGTGCGATTTTTGTTTTTTTTTGGTTGGAAATAGTTAGAATATGGTCATGGTTGAGGTAAAGTTCTATTTTAGATCTAATGAAAGAAGTAATGAGTAACTTTTGCACTTAAATTTTATTGATAAACCACTAGAGAACCCCTTTATTGTTGTAGAATTTTTAATTTGCTGAGCAATATACTTTATTACAGGGCGCTTAACTACCGCCAACCGAACTGACTAACTGCAAATACAAACATATATAGGTACATATACACATGAGGCAGAACAAATTATCGCACTTTTATTATGAGATCACTTTGTTATTTTCTTTTCTTCAGTTGTTACAGGGAATATTAAATTTGCCACAACGTTTTTCGATCTGAAATTTCGCACACAACTTTTTCTCCCCGAGAAACTGCTTATTTGTCAGAACCGCCTATATCGAAACACAGTCAAAATCAGGCTATTGTACCTGAGCTTTTTATTTGACAAAATATCTTCACAAAATTTTGCATGGATTATTGTGCAAGTCACCGCTGTGATCTTCAAAGAAATTATTCCAATTTGCCATACAAACTGATCGAAACAAATCAAGTCCTTGCACAGAAAACTTTTTTATATAATAAAATATCTTTACAAAATTTGGCATGGATTATTCTCCGAAGGAACGCTATAATCTCTGAACGAATTGTTCAGATCGGACCGTTATAGCATATAGCTACCATACAAACTGTCAAGCCTTTGTATGAACAAGTTTTTTGTTTGACAAGATATCTTCACAAATGCGGCATCGATTAATGTTCTTGGTGGCGGCACAATTTCCGAGCATATTGTTTCGAACCGACCACTCTAGCATATAGCTGGCATACAAAACTGACTTATCAAAATCAAGGTAAAGATCTTTTTATACCCTTTTATGCTTTAAGAAATGCACCTGTAAAGGATATTAGGACTTTGGTGCAACCCAAAATTTAATTACTATTAAAATAAATAAAAATTCAGGCTAAAACTTGCATATAAAAGAAATCAATAATAAAATTGAAAGCGAAATTAAACTTTAATATTACTAAACAAAATTTTTTTTTTATTAATTTTTAAATATTTTATTTAGTTTCCACTATTCATTATCACTAAAACAAAATGCTAATAAATTGCCACTACGAGTAAATAATAAATATTATTTCTCGGTTTCGAAAATGGTATTCTTAAGCGATTAAAAGCATTTAAGTTGTACCGAAAATGGCTTTCTTTTTAGTTGAATGCGTAATCACAGAAGAATGTGCGTATATACCTATATGGTACATGTTTAAGTGTATTTAAGGTAATGTCGAAGCAAAGCAATGGCAATGACAGTGATTTGTATTGTCGTTGGCATTGGTAATGCGGTGGTTGGCAGCGTTGATGAGCTTGCAATTCATAATTTCTTTCCAAAGCACGTACAACGCATTGACTCTTTTGTGTGTCTACGTATAAAAAGTTGCCCTCATATAGGTACAAACAAAATCATAAAGCACATTAATATCTATGTGTGTATGGTTAGCATGCATACTGGCGCAGCTAGTTTAATTAATTTCCATTTTTAAATGAGATTTTCAAAGTAGTAGAAATTTTCAAGCATTGAGTCTTAGCTGGAAACAAAAAAGTATGACAAACAGCGGGGTTTCAAAAGTGTTTTAATGTAAATAAGCATTCTAATGTACATATCTTAGTTGACTAATGTACAAAAAATTGCAGAATCTCTAAAATACATAAAAAAAATAAAACCTCTAGCTTGCAGTTTTCAAGCAGCTGATGTGTTATATAGGAAGGTTTGCACGCCAATAACCTATTGCACTTCAATAAAATATGTGGGAGATCCACATACAAGTATGTAAGTGACCCGAACTTACTTGAATGACCGTATCATTCGAGTGTACGGGGTGGTCCATAATAAAAACTTAATTATTTCTAAATTTGGCGAAATCTTTTAATTACGATACATTATAAATTATTTATTTATGAGGCTCAATTAATGACTATGCCACGAAGCGAGCAATATAGTAGAGTATATTTTTGTTCACCTAACGGTTGTTTGTATCACTTAAAAATAATCGAGTTAGATATAGGATTATGTACGTTTAAATGATCAGGTCCGTCCGTCCGTCCGTGCAAGTGATAACTTGAGTAAAAATTTTGATAACCAAATTTGGTACATAAAATTATTTCGATATTCTGTTACAGTGCGAAAATGCGAAATCAGACAGAAACCTTGCCTACTTCTTATATAAGACAACTTTAAATTCCATTTGATTTTTCCACTTTTGAGTATACAAGTTCAGCACTAATTAATATAATATATCGGGACACAAATTTGCATGAATATTTCCTTTAAGGTATGCCATCGCAGGTCTTAAAAATTGTCAAAATCGGACCATAACTGTTCAAGCCGCCAGATACCGGAAATGTGGACCCAAAGCCTATGGATGACTTTTTACCTAATATAAAGATTTTCGAACTTCCAGTTGACTTTATACCACATATGTGTGTATATCGGCCAGTGTGCTAGTTATTTGATTGAAATTGAGAAAGCTTGTCTTAGCCCCCATTAAGATGATATTCACGATATTGAAACGTCCGTCCATATATAGTATGTTTATATTTATATATTTATAAAATTGCTTGAAAATAAGTTTTCAAGTATACCTGAGCAATGACAAACATTAATGCAATCAGCCCTTCCATTTCTATGCCCCCAATGGTTTTAGTATAATTTTCGCTAATGAGAGGTAAAATAAAGTTATAAAACTAAGAGAGTCTAAAACCTTCAAAATAAGTTAATATCATGTTTGATTGTAATCCATTCACAATTTCGTCGAACAATGAAGTTGAACCTTTTCGCTACATTTCTTAATATAAAGTTTTGCCAACAACTGATGGTATTTCCCCAGCTTTGACTCCTGCAAGTTGCAAGAGTATGAAATGGTTGGTTACACCCGAACTTATTGCTGCCTTGCTTCTTTATATTGCTTCTGTTTTTTTTAGTGGAATGCATATTTCAAGAATATTGTGTATTATTCAAAGTATAAAAAAAAACAAAGTTACGATTATTTTTATAGCTGTTTTAAAAACGTTTTATATCAGAAGTTTTAGTGTTCGACACTTGGTAACCTTTTCCCCACAACTAACGTTATCAAATTCGGTGCTCTTCATAACATCAAAACAACTGCACCGATCCTTTTAAACACTATTTCTGTATATAATTTACGAGGACACGATGGAGAGTTATTTTCAAATTTGTTAATAATTTTTATTGTACAATAAGAAATTTTTCCCAAGTTCGTACTACATTTGTAGGTGACTAGAGAGGACTGTTTTAGAAAATACTTTAAAAAAAAATGTTAATTTTTATCTCGACGTTTGAATCCATTCGCAGTAATAGAAAATTCAGCTAATTAGTAAAAAACAAAAAAAAAAAAAATTCCTAGAGATAATCGTTATTGTTGTATTAGTGCTTGGGATCGTATCTTAATGGATTGTGTGTTCTATCCTATCTAATAAAAAATGCTTTTCTACTATATGTAAAATTTTATCTGTTCTATTTATAGCTTATATGCGTTTTGCAGGATCTTGAAAAGTCACGAATCGAACAAGCCACTTTTATAAACTATAACAAACAAATAGACTGACATTAAGGGGGGAAACCAGTTTAGATGATTCAAAAAAATCGACTTTTTATATTGCATCAATTGTTAGTACAACTATTCAAGAATATTTCAAAACGAAATTCCAATTAGTTCCGATGATATGAGCACTAAGGTAAACACCGGTCGATTCATTGCCGAATCGCACTTTTTTTTCAAATGCGTTTTTCTCGAAACGATTTTTTTTTCAACTTGCAGGAATCCTAGCGCGAAAAATTATTAACGAATCAATCTGAAAATTTGTGTGAATATCCTTTATTTAAGTCCGAAAAATATGAACCAAACTCTGGAATGATATTATTAAATATATAAAATATATTTTTTTATTTAAGAAAAGTGAAAAAAAGTATATAAAACATAACATTTTGTTCAAACACCTCCAAAACATTTAATTTTCAACTCTTTTCGTTCATATTCTTAGAAAATATGTTACTAACGAAATAAAAAATAATGAATAATTTCAGAACAAAACTATGATCTTCAGGTGTTCCGCCAGCAGTCAACTGTGATGGCTATCGTCAATGGATACCACCCTCTAACTCCACCACTTCCTGCAGAAAGGGCATCGAAGAATTTAAAAGTGTAGTTCAAAATAGGAGTAAACTATCCTGCAAGTTTAAAAGAATTCTATATATTCGTTCTTAGTTAAAAAAAAAAATCACAAAAAACACTCAAATTTCGGCCTTCTAAACTGGTTTCGCCCCTTAATCAAATAGAGAGATAAAGCCAGCAATTTTTCCACTTCAATGTAGTCTCCACATATTCTCTTATATTGAATTCTACTGGACTACTTTGTTGTTAATTTCACCTGTCAATTTTGGCGAGAGGCGGCGAATGGAAGACTTATATTCAAATTGAACGAATTTTATGGCGAATAAAGCAACATAATTTTAATTAAGAATTAAGAAACCCCTAAAAAGGTAAAATTGCTGCATAAAAAACTGCTGTACTCCATAACTATAAAAAAAACAAAGGAGGTACGCTGTCGTATAGATGAACAGCTTTTAACAACATGTTTTACCGCTATCAGTAGTTCATACATCATATTTTGTTATCTAAGATTAAGTAAATAGAAATACCAAAATAAATTTTACAGCTATTTATCACTGCTTTAGCCAAGGCTTTGGCTTTAAGACTAGTTAAAGCGATATCGAACAGCAAAATACGCTATATAAGAAACGTAGAAATACCAATATATGTGGAAATAATTGTATGCCAAAAAGAGAAAAACGCAAAATCGCAAAACTATTTTTAAGACGAACAGTTTGTGGCACAAGCAACTGTTTTTGGACTTGGCCAAACAAGAGAATCAATGGGCAGTGCAAAATATCTATAATTACTTCCGCAGCAACACGCTTATGGTACGGAAAAATTGTGCCAGCAACAACTATTGTTGCTGTTGGCTTTTTATTTTATTTATTTGCTGTTTTTGTTGCCACACATGCCACAACTTGAAGTGGTCAAAACGGCGCATGCACCGCCAAAAGCAAGCGAGTGAGGAAGTGGTAGCGCATTACATACGCGTACATGAAATGCGCATGCGCAAATCACAAATATTCGTGTTGTTGTTGGTGCTGCTGCCTTAAACAGGTGTCCGACACAACACGAGTTTTTGATTTTCTACACTTTTCAGTCATAAACACCAAACCAGCAAAGGAAAAAAAAAAAATTAAGAAAAAAATCATGAAATAAAATAAATGTAAAAATCAATGGCGAAATAAAATTGGTAACAGCAGCAAGTCTTTCTGGCATACCAGTTCGCTAGGAGATTGGCGCAGATTTGCGCGTCGTGCTGGCGATTTTCCAACGTTTACGGCGGCAACAGCGTTTGACGCCTGCATTTGCTTAGCATAACGTTGCTGTTGTTGTTGCAGTTGATATGTCTTATTATTGTTGCTGTTGTGTTGAAATTGCAATTGTTGATGTTGTTGCCGCAAGGCGGCCACATTTTGTGCGCTCTCACCAAAATAAAAACTCTCGCTGCGGCCAAGCGCTATAGCGGCCGCTGCCGCTGGCGTTAATGGTGATGGCGAGTCCAAAGCGCCGCTATATGGCCGCGCACGATACTGCTCATACATGGAGACGGGACGCGGGCGTGGCTGTGCCGATATGGCACCGCTGTGATGATCCGTTTTATTGTTACCACTATTATTGTTGTTGTGATTGTTGCTAGCAGTGTTGCCATTGATGCCGCTATGCCGATAATTCACATGCAAACTTATCTTTGATTCGGCTATGGCATCTTGTAGTATGGCCTGTGAGGAGGAGAAACGATCGCGTTGCAATTGGGACATTTGCTTTGAGGTCACTCCGACAGGTGTTGTTTGTGTGGTTGTTGCTGTTGCTGTTGTGCCATCATTGTAATGTAACTGATGTGCATGATGCTGTTGTTGTTGTTGTTGCTGGTGATTTTTTTGAAAATGTGTCGATGAGCTGCGTTGTATGCCGCCCCCACCAGCGCCGGCAGCGCCACTCCCAGCATTATTTGTAATGTCAACGTTAACATGTGTGCTGCGCCACATTCCTACGGTGTTGTTTTTTTCTTGTTTTCACTGTTGTTTTTACTGCTGTTTATTGTACGTATTCACTTAGTAGCGCGAATTAAATGTTTATATTTGGTCTGTTTGTCTATGATGACGACACCGCGCATAAATGTTATTGCCTTTGCCAGGTTTGTTGTTGTTTGCTGTATAGTTTTTTGACAACTGACGTGCGCACCTCGTTATTCAAGCGACAATGGCACATCAATGATTGCAAAGAATGTTTTTTGTTTTGTCTTTGATTTGATTCAATTTATTGCTGCTTTTGGTTGCTACTTTGAAGTGAAAATAATGTTTAAAAAAAAATCATTTCCTACTCAATTATTTCACTTTTGCATAACTGACTAGGGCGCTCAAATACAAATACTCTAAACGCACAGTTGTGTAGAAATTTAGCTGCCACAGAGTGATTTAACCCAATGACTCGTATAATAATTAATGCGGATTGTTTGATTTTTATTGCTCATAATTACACAAAAAATATCACTAAAGCAAAAATCGACTTTTATTTGGAGAAAATGTATTTTTGGAAATATTAAAAAATTTGAATTTTTTTTTCTTAATTAATTTTTTGTTACTAATTTAATTAATATTTATATATTTGGTATTTATTAGCCCAGAGTTCCTAGGTGGAACAGAGGGCCTCATGTTAATTAAAACATATTTTTATGTTAAAGAAAAATTAATTTCAAGCTTCAAATCAGTCGAAAACATTTCTTGTCTTTTTTTAAGTTAATAAATTTAAATTTTTTGAAATTAAGAAGTAAATTTCATATTTTTCTTTCTATTTAATTAAAGTAATTAAATTAAGTTAGTTTTTAAGTGTATAGCTGAATTTTTATCTCTTTTTCAATTATTAAATTAATAAATTTTTACCGAAATTAGGCAAGTACATTTCTTAATCATTTTATTTTGTTTCAATTAATAAATTATAATTTTTTTAATTATATCGTTTAATATATAATATTATGATATAATCATTTTATTTTGTTTTAATTAATAAATTATTATATTTTAAATTAATTAATTTACTTTCAATTTTTTTAAATTTTTTAAATTGATTAATATACATGGTTAAATTAAGTTAAGTAAGCATATCTGAATTTTCGTGTAATTATGTATTACATATGTATCATTTCAAGTAATAACTTACTGCGGCTTAAATTGTTTAAATTTACTTAGCTGATTATTTTTTATTTTTTTTTAAATGCTTTCCCCTATATTTAATTTGGTCTGATCTAATTAAATTTGAAATAAAAGTTAAAAATTACAAGTATAGCTTTTTAAGTGATTTTACATGAAGAGTCTATTAAATTTAATTATATTTGAAATTTTATCAACAACCATTTTTGCTTATTTTAATCAGGGCTGCAACATTTTTAATTTAAACATTTTGGATTAAATATTTAATTTTGAATTATTTAAATATAAAAAAAAAACTTTCAATTCTTAATGCGAAAATTGGTATTAAAAGCTGAAAATTGTTTGGTAAAAGTTTTGAATCCAAAAATCGGAATTAAAAACTAAATTTAATTTTTAATTCAAAATTAGAATTGATTAAATATTATTTAATTCAAAAATTGGGGTTACAAATAAAAACATTATTTTTCATATTAAAAGCTGAAATGAAAAGGGATAAAAAAAGAAGGATTCACATATTTCTAACTGAAAAACTATAATTACGATTACTTAAATAAGACCAAAAATTGCTAAACTGTGTTGATGTTTTATTAAAAAAAAAGCTTTCTTTCTCAAAAGATAACCAAAATGGTAGAACACGAAGGACATAAGCGAGAATTTTAAGTTAAAAATTAAAACAAAATTTTTAAAATTTTTATTTTATTTTTGTGATTAACTGTTTTATTTCATTTTTTAATCCGCTATTTGGAATTAAAATTTTAATTTTTTTTAATCCGATTTTTCACATTTAAAATTAATTTTAAATTTTTCAATCTGGTATTTGGGACTGAATGCTGTTTATATTTTATTATTTATTTTTATTATTAGCATTCACGACAATTTACGTTTTAAATGACCGTTACCCATTAATTTTCATTACGTTTTACATTTTTTCTTATTTGTAAACTTTTGGGCTTTTTTATTTAAGTTATTCACTTATTTCTGTTTATGAACTAATCATTTTTATTACTATTTGCTTAGTTTCTGACAATTTGCCTTTTAAATTAACTACACCCATTACATGTTTTATTTTCTATTTTAACACTTTTTATCTACTTTGCATGTATTAGTATTGTTAGTTTTTCGTATTTATCTGTATATAAGCTGGTACGAGATTTTAAAGTTTTCTTAACATTATTTTAATGAGCTTAAATATTTTTATTTTATTTTATTAATATATTTGTTTTATTTTTTATTTAAATTTAATTTTAATTTTTTGTTTTCATAATTTACTAATTTCAATTCAAATTTTCCGCTACTTATTTGAACTTTTGCAATTTTTCTCTTTTTTCATTAGTATTTATTTCATATAGGGAGATAAAAATCTTTCATAAGCAGCTAACCAGCCGGTTCCGTTATAAGTGAAAACAATTTTTTCTTCACTCCTACGAGTTTTTACGCCCTTCACTCCTTCTCCCAGCATTCATTAATTGATTTTTATCTTCTTTAATCATGTGTGTTACTCACTAATTTTAATTATTCACAATTGTATATATTTTTGATTTTTTTTGTTTAAATAAATTTATTAATTAGTTATAATTATATATTATATTTGTTATAAATTCATTCAAGCTATTTTTTTTTCTCCGTCTCTATTTTTTTTATTTTTATTTTTATCATTTATTATTTACATGATTTTAATATTATATTTCATTACCTCATTATTTTATTGTTAAAATTTATTTAAAATTTTCTCCGTCTATTAGAGTTTTAGTCTTTATTTTCTCTTTTAATTATGTTTTGGTTTTATTTTATTTTGTTAAAAACTACATTTAGTAGTTATCTTTAATTATTTATTATATCTTCAAAGTTGAGTCGGTTCATTAAATTATTTATAAACTTAATTATTCAATTTAAAATGTAAGTTATGGATTTTTTTATTCTTCTGTTTGTTTCTAAGCATTTTAATAATATTTATTTTTTATCATTTGACAGATTGTTATTATTTTTTGTTTTAGATTTAAGTTTAAGAAGTTGTCTACCTTCGCGGTTTGTAAAAATTGATTTTTTGCATATTTCACTTGTAAATTTAACTAAAAACATGCCCCATAAGGGATTTGTTTGAAAGCATATTGGTTTACGAGATATCAAGCCACAAACCCGGCCTCGCGCTGACTATTTACGTCGCTCAGTGCAAGGTTTAACACGTTTTCTCAAAAGTAGTGTTATTTTACGTTTTGGCACGATTCTAACAAAACTATAAACGATATTCAAAATCTGCAAATTTTTATTGTTCACAAAGCATCTCGTTATGCTTAGACACGCGCTTTTTGAAATTTTTTTTCTCTATTTTTTTGCAGTCTTTTTTAGCTTGAAAAAACATGGTGAGAAATGCATTCTTTTTTTAAATCGCTGCTATTTTTTCAGCTTTTTAAATATTCATATATAATACATAATAGCTTGTGTCTAAACATAACTGTGGTCATAAACATGAATTTAAAACAAAAAAAAAAAAAATTTCATGTCTGAAGCTGAAATCTATTGCCAAGAAGTCGACTACGCCGCACCGGCAGTGGTGCATTCAAGCCGCATAACAGGCGCGTTTTGTAAAATAAAAAATTTGATAATTAAATTAATTTAAAATTTAACGGATATAAATTGGGATAATTAGTTAATAAAATAAAAAATAGTAATTTGTGGAAATTTCATGTGTAGTTTGTTGGCAATCCATCGTCAAAAATATGCCTGAAATTTTACTTATTTATTATTATTTTTTTTTTTTTATCATTTAGTGTTTGTTTCTATTCGTGCATATTTTATATTTACATATTTTTGTATACATTATGGTATTATAATTATTATTTTGTTTTTAATGTAATTCAATAAGTTTTTAATCATTTTCATTTTATATTTTTATATGTATTCAGTACACATTTATTATTTTCGGTGCACTTAATTGCCATTCTTCCACAATTACAAGCGCTCATTGTAGTAATGACTCAGAAACGCACAGCTCATGAGCAAAATGACTGCTAAAGGTGTGTTAAGATTTCCTCTTTATTTTTTCGACTTTTTTTTTAACTTTTTTAATGTTACTTTTGTTTAAGTTTCGCTGTTTTTTTTTTTTTTAGTTTCCGACAAACGATTTGCAATCACTGTGTGGCATATTGCTCATTGCTTTTGAGTAGTCTGCATTTAGGGTGCGGCAGCGGTAATGGCAGTGTCAGTAGTACATTGCCGACGCAGTGCCACCAAATCACGGCCAGAATCGCGTTCCAAAGCAACAATTACACGAGCACACGGCGAGCATGTGATGTGTACGTATGTATGTATGTAATGCATATGGCTATGCCTGTAACCGTTGTACGCGATGCATGTATATATATATATATATATATATGTATGTACGTATGTAAATAGTAGATATGTAAAATACAATAATTCCGCCACGTACGGTTCTTGGCAAAACGCTGGCGCGACACAGTTTATGCAAACAACGTCCAAGCGCGCATGGTAGCATTGGCTTTGTTGGTCAGCCAGCCAGCCAGCCAGCTGAGTTGATTGAAACATTTACATGCATGCATACGTACGCATGTACGGTTATATTATTGTATGTTTTGTTGGTTGGTTGCTTGTTGGTTGGGCCGTTCTTGAAACTACAAACCGCTGCGTTATAAACTTGGCTTGCTTGGCGGTGTCAAAAATGCAATGCAAGTCAAAATAAAACACACACATACACACGCGCGCGTTGTATGAAAATAAAAATAATTAAAGTATAAAATACCGCACTGCAGCACTGCTAACATTCAATGGCAAACGCGAGGCACACCGCGCGTAGCGCTTCGATGGGCAGTAGCCAGCAAAAACAAAGCTGTATATACATACATATATATATATATATATTTAGACGAGTACTAACTGAAAAAGTTTTGATATTAAAACAAAAACGTAATAGCAAAAGCTGAGCTCAGCGTAACTAAGCTGAACTAAACTAAACTGCGCTGAGGCGCATAAACACACTATACACACACACACACACACGCCTGCGCGCGCGCACACACATTTACACCGCCGCGCTTACAAAAGTTAGTACAAATGCAAACGGGAATATTGCGCTTAGACAAACGTCGAACCGCACCAGACGAGGTGTTGGGCCAAATGGAAAGCCAGCAACGAATAAAAAATTTTTTTCTAATAATAAAATAATAGTGGCACAATACTCGCTATTGTTACATATATGTATACATATGTATGTATGTAACTATGTCTTTGAAATAGAATATGAACAGCAAAAGAATTCGTAATCAAAACACAATTTGAGTTGTTATTAGACGCGGCAGCAGTAGCACACTACGCGCACACACCGCGACTGAGTTTACACGAAATGTGAGAGCGACTGGCAAGCGCGTAGCACGGTAAATGCATGCAAGATCCGAACGATCGCCTGGTCGTTGGTTGCCGTTTGCTTTGTCTTTGTTGGTTGTTAGGTGTATATCGGTCGGTCGATGGTTTTGTTTTTTAATCAACCGCTAGAGACAAGCAGACAACCAAAGCGATGAGCCAACAATAACAAACTGAAAAGCAACGGGCAACCGAGACGACGATCGACAATCGACAGCAGGCGAGAACAATGGCAGAAGCCAGTGTTCAAAGTGTCGGTGTTGGTGATGGCATTGCTGTTGCTGCTGCTGCTGCTGCTGCTAACAATGTTTTCAATACAATACTGTTAAAAGTCGTAAACTAACAGCAATAACAAAGACTAAACACTAGTGGCAGCCTCTTAGTGGCATACCAGTAGTGGTAACAACTTACAACAACAATGTCGACATTTACATAGTAAGCTGTTGCGACGGCTACTAACAAACATAAACATTCGCTGGCAAGTTAAAAGCTGTGAGAGAGCGCGCTGCGTGCAAAATGTTAATGTCACAACAACAAATAACAGGTAAGCGCTAACTGATATTGGCTTGAAACAACGGTAGTGAAATTTTGTTGGCGCTCTCGCGCGCTCCCACTAGGTTTTGAGTCGACAACACAATTTTGAAGTTGAAGGCTTGGCTATTTATTCCCATAAGCAATTGTTGTTTTAAATTTTTATTTTTTTATTTCACCATTTAAATAAGAGAGTGGCGCTGCATAGTTCTCTACTTAAGATGTCACAGCGACGCGCTGAGTGTCAGTATTTGTGTGTACGTGTATATATATCAACGTTCAGCATAGAGTAGACAATATTTGTAGTTGTGAAAAATATTTTGGCCACCCTTCCTATTTTGGTGCAACGAGAAACTCAATTGCAATGCTAATCACGTTTTGAGTTTAAAGTACTTCCTTTTCACTGCGTGTTGCAAGTGAAATTTAATGCTGAATTTAAAATGACAGAAAAAATTGACAGAAATAAAAAGATTACTACGATGAAATGACTATTGTTTTGAAAACGTTTTAGCAAAAAAAACTACCTTAATTCATAAGATTTATGTTAGTGTTAATAAATCGCAATATAACCCTAAAATTATGCTATAAAATCGTTTCGTATCGCTTACTACTATCGATCGATAAACGCTTACTTTTATGTAAATCCTAAGGTTCACGATAAAAATGAGTATATTGCAATATCATCCTAAAAGTATGCTTTGATATAATTCGCATGACATTTAGGCTTACTATCATATATGCAAATTGCAATTTAACCCTAAAAGTAGGCTATGAAATCGTTTGCTTACATTTAGGCTTACTATGGATTGGGTTTGTTTCTTAAAAAAGGTCGGTAATAGCTTATTTCTCCAGAGTGACTATGATATTTTATTTAAGTCCCCAAATTCATAGTTAGAATTTAAAAAATGCAATCTAACCCTACAAGTATGCAATAAAATCATTTGCGTAATATTTAGGCTTACTATGGATTGAGCTTGCCTCATAAAAGAGTTCGATTATCGCTACTTACTCAAGTGTGACTACGAACTGCATACTAAGCTATATACTTGCACTTATATACACATATACATGCATCCCTAAATGACTTTAAACGTAAAACTATATCCTTGCTATTAGTTTATCATCTTTTAGGCGCATGGCTTATACCTCAAATAATATATTTTTGAATCCTGAACAAGATATATTTAGTTTGCCACGAAGCTTGTAGCATACATATATATGGTATATAAATGATAAGCGTGACGAGCTGAGGTCTTTTGTATATGGTACACACGAACTAGTTTCTCAGTTTGGGAGATATCGATCTGAAATTTTGCACACGTCCTTTTCTCCCCAAGAAGCTGCTCATTTGCCGAAATCGTCGATATCCGGACAACTATAGCATACAGCTGTCATACAAACTGAACGATCAAAATGAGGTCCTTGTATGAAAAACTTTTTTATTTGACAAGATATCTGCACGAAATTTGGCGCGGATTATTTTTAAGACGAAGTACAACCTCCGAGCAAATTTAGTTCGGACTACTATAGCATATAGCAGCCATAAAAACTGATCGATCCAAATTAAGATAGATAAATATTTTTATAACCTTTTATGTTATAAGAAATTCTCCCGTGGGGTATTATATCTTCAGTGCAAACGAAGTTAAAATTTTTTCTTGTTTTTAATAGAAAATTTTAATCATTTATATTTATAGCATAATTTTCGACGTTTAGCTCATTTCTAAGCAATTTAAAGAAGCTTCAATATATTATTGCGTTTAAATATGCATATTTTTATAGCGAACTCAGCTTCAAAATTATATAGTAAAAGCCAAAGTAAAGACACGTACACTGCTGCAGCTGCAAAGCATTCGATATATGGACTGTGAAAAATACAAGTCGAAGAAGAATAATTTTTTTTGTTTATTTCTCGGTAGAAAATCATGAAAATTAATAATTTAATAAATTTAAAGCTTAAAGTTAGGGACTAAGACTTTACATTTAAAATTATTATATCAAGTTTTATATGTTATACATATGTACATATATGTATATGGTGAAATATTTCATGCATGCATTGTATGGCTGAACAATCCCCCATTAATATTTGCAATATTGAAAGCTTTTTAAAATACCGTAAATAAAATTTACAACCGTATCTATTTTCAATTAAGTACACTATAAATATGAAATATTTCATTGCGCAATTTAAAAAAAAAGGGTAAAGCTATGCCTGTATGTGAACGAAGCATTTAGATATCTACCATGACTGCGCATAGCATTGCATTGTGTAATTTTCTATGGCATCGGAAGCGCGCTCCATCGGCAGGTGGCGCAATAGTGCTAACCGCTCTCACTTAGATGGTTGTGCGCAAGCTAAACCTGTCGTTAGAAAAGATGAGGCGACCACCAGAAGTACTATGAACAGAATAGTTGACTGGCGTACTCCGAGAAACGTGTACTCAGTTGCTCACGCTGTCACTCAGCTGGTAAAACAACTACGTGACACTTAATTCGGTATGACAAACGCGCGTTACAATTTCGACTATTTTGTGTACAGAGAAAAAACATGCTGCCTTCTAGCAGCTGTGCCGGAAAACTAACTGCGGCTATTGCAACACATTATCAGTTGAAAACACGAGCGAAGTAGTGTGAAGCCGCAACAAAATTACACGACACTATACTTTTTTTTAGGGTTTTCTTTAAATTCTATAACTTGTATTTTAACAGCTATCTATTGCACATATTTACAGCGAGTTGTTAATAGTTGATAACATACCACTTACTAACCCAATTAAACTTTTTTTTATACTCTTGAAGGCGTTGAGGTTACACATGATTTACCTTGCTGTATTTTTCTAAATTATATGAAATGAAGTCACTATCGCGATACATCATATACATTTTACTACTAACATCAATACGTAAGCAATCAACTTTCACAGTTTATAATCCAATGAACCTTTGAAAAGCTTTGAAGTAACCTACAACTGATGATTTGGTGAATTTAATACCACTCCTCTACAGTTTTGATAAAATAACTTGTTATGATAAGCTATTGACTCATATGTTTATTTCCAAATAAACAACACAAGGTGTTTTATTATTGATTTGGGTGCTTGATTGTAAATATAACGGCGCATGGAAAAAATAATAGTACAGTTCACGGCGTATTAATAAAAATAATGCATATGCATACGTACATACAAACATATTAAATTATGCAATAAGGAACACCGGCTTCGTGTTAAGCAAATTCAGATATGCTTGGGGTATACGATACGCTTATATAAAAATCAAAAGCAAATGAATTACTTCTTGCTGTCGAAATGCTGATTACATGATTGAAGCACTAAGCAAACAATTTTATCACCAAAGCTTTTAGAAACCTGTAAGCAAGCGCCCAAATTGTCTACACAGTTTTTTATACCCTAAACAGGGTATATTAAGTTTGCCATGATTTTTTCTCAACAAGAAGCAACTCATTTATCGGAAAACTATAGCATATGGCTGACATAAAAACTGAACGATCAAACTCATGTTCTTGTATGGGAAACTTTTTTATTTGACAGGGTATCTTCACGGCATGGAATATTAAACAGGGTATTACAAGCTTCGAACATTGTTCAGATCGGACAACTATAGCATATAGTTGCTATACAACATGACCGATAAATATCAAGATACATATGTTTTATACTCTTTTATGCTATAAAAATTCACCTGTGAATGGTATTATAGCTTCGGTGCAGACAAAGTGCACATTTTTTCTTGTTTTAACATAGTTATTTTTTTAAATTCAAAACGAATTGACACTGTGTACTATGCATCTGCACATTTATCCCAACATTACTGCTACTATGCCGGCTTGCTAATTTATTTACAATTTACATACTTAAATATTAATAATATTGTATATTGATAATTATGTATTTGTACTACTTACCTCTGTCCAGGCCATGGTGGCTGCAGTATTGTTAGCTGCACCTTTGGCAGCAACAGCGGTGGCGGCACGCTTGGATGGCGGTGGCACAGAGCGTCGAGTTGTGGTGCGTAATGCCTTGGTAAACGTTTGCGGATATGTCCGCCAAGTGCGTGCTGTAGTTGTTGCAGTTGATTTGCTTAAGAGCAACGATGTTGATACCGATACACTAGCTGGCGGTGGTGTCTGCGGAAAGCGATGTACACCAACTTTTTCGTTGATCAAAGTTAATAGTGTGGCCGAGGAGACTGTAATGGTGTTGGCGGCAACGGATGTTTGACTAATTCTGATGCAGTATATCGAAGAAAGCTATTATTCTATTGGACGAAAGAAATAATATTTAGAATGGGACTATACATACATATAATAAATAATTTGCCAGCTGATATTATACCTATACACATATCTATATGTATCTATGAATATATATATGCTATGTGATTGTACATATTAAGAAATATGGTTACTTGCACCACTGCATTGTTGGGCGTTCACAATCCATATTTTTTTGGCAGTAAAATATGTTTTTAGTTTCGTATGCCGCTCCCACCATACAACTCACCTGTTTGACTCACTGCAGTAGTTGTTCGCACGCTTTGCTCATGTTATTTTCAGACGTAGATAAAATGTTAATACTTTTATTTATTGCCAAGTCTTTTAATGTAATAATCTAGATCAATATCTCGATAAAAACAAAAAAATTATCTTTGTTGTTGTTCTATGTGGCTAAAACAATAACAAAATATTTGGAAATTTTGGTTGAGGTGGTCTGTTGCTGTGGGGGTGCTCCGCTCCAGCATTCCCACCACGACCACTGTTGCTTCTTCGTTAAGCTACTTCTGCCTTGCTTCTTTTCTGCCTTTGGTAGCAAATCTCTGCCGCGTTGGTTGTTTGGTTGGTTTTTTTTATGTCTTATTGTATTCAGTAGCAGCCTCGCTGGCTCAAGTTTTTGTTTCTGTTTTACCACTTGCTTTCTTTTTTTTGTCTATTGATGAATCGAAATTAGTGTTCGATGAATATGTTTTCTTTTCCTCACTTCTTCTTACTTCTAATAAGCAGATGCTATAATTTAGTTTAATATTATTTTGGTTATTTTCTATGTTTTATTCCTTGTCTAGTTATTTCTTGATTATTTTGCACTTCACTTACGCACTTCTCTTCCTACAAAAGTTTTCTTTTCAACATTTGTAATTTTTTGCCGTCCTCTTGCTATCGTTTTTTCACTTTTTCATAGCTTTTCTTCGCACTTAAAAGGGAATTTTGTTTTCTCTGCCTATTTTGTAAATCTCAAAAATGCAATTTTGATTTTAACCGGAAAATGTTGCTTTAGCTGGGAGCGAAATGAAATAAACAATTTTCCTTGTTTTTTTTTGCTTTAAACGAGAAGATGTTGAAATATTATGTAAATTCAAACTATATTTTTCTGTCTTCTTAATTCTTGTTTCCTTTTCAACTTGATTGTCACATGGCACCCAGCAAGCAATTGGCTTCAAGTTCAACCACTTGACGAAAGCTGTCAACTTTGATAAGTAGTCACATAAGATGTTTACATTGTGTATAATCGGTTTTGGGAATATGTCTCATTCGTACTGATCTCAAATTTATGTGTACAAAGGCACCACTTTTATTCTAACAACTAAATTAAATAAAATATATATACAATATTAATTGTTTCAGAATTTGTGTGCTTAGCAAGTGAATGGTGGATCCCTGAATAAAAATAATAATCACAATGTGTTTACCATACAAGATTTTACTGTTTACAAGTTCTTTATGTGAAATAATACGATTAACTTTCAAACTTTCTGAGAACGTAGATGAAATTTGAAATGATTAATATACGGATCGTGAACTATCTGACTGTCGTGATATAGTTAGAGTATATTGCAAATTAAAATTACGAGCGGTGATCACAGGATTCATAATATACTGTGTTTGTCCTACATTCAGTTGCTTACATCTAGCTTCTATTTCTTGAAGATCACTTTAAATTTAAGTTTTTCTCCACAATATAACAGCATGCGATATTCTAAGCCAATACCTGAACATTTCTAAAGCAGAAAATACTATAATCCTATATGGGGACTGCTACACGGTCAGTATATATTCATCGCGATCCAGAATCGTGATATTTATTGAACTGTAGGCAGAGAATGTAGATATATATTTTACATTCTCTACTGTAGGTTGCAATATTAATGGATTGCGATCCATATCACATAAATTAAAATATTTTGAAATCCGAATCGCGGATCGCACGTTAAATATTCAATATTGAGCGCCCGATCCACAACATTTTGTATATAAATTTGCGAGATGACGGAACAAAGTAAAAAATAATTTCGATTCGTTCGATATATAATTCTTTATAGTTATATATACATTTAAACATTTTCAAAGATCCAGTGTATTCTTTACAATGGTTGCCAGCATTTTTTGCTCCAATGATTCCTTTGACTGTTTTCTTGACAACTATAGAACCTTTTCCTCAGTTTTCTTTCGACATTTTATAAAAAAACGACAAAAAAAAGTAAACAAATAATAACTTAAAACTATTTTTTTACGTATTTCTTTCAAAAATTCGATTATTTCGAATAATTACTGACGCGATAAGTATTGAACGTATAGCATTTACTCACGATCCAAATATCACAATAAATATTGAACGTGTGACAGGCGCCTATGGCTTACCATAAATTGTTTTTCAAATTACAGCACTGTTAGGAGATGTTCGGTGTAATTTGAATCCACCTCTCTTATCGAGAGTTGCCTATTGATAATTTCTTATGAATTTTTTTAAAGAGATTAAATTTGTTAATTTACTAATATGCATAAAATAGGGTTCATTGAAAATGTACATAGTACATATAAAATAACGCCATTTGTTCAACGGTTTCATTTGTTTACGAGTTATTAAACGTTTAATAGCAGTCCTATTAGAAAAATATGTAATAACGTTGCAAATGTCAGTCTGTGTTTGAAAGGTGTGTATATAATGCAACCATGCGTGAAAAGAGGGTTGGCAACACTATGACTCCGAAAAACGTGTTGAATTGGTTAGGTGCCCGAGCTGTTGGTGGTGGATTTGTCCGTCGTTCTTTTTGCCAAGTACACGATTAGAGGCGTGTAGTGTTTTTAAAAGTTGGTCAGAAAAATCATTAAACATCCAAAATGGTATGTAAAAAATATATCAAAACTAACGCAAAACAGAAAGTAACAGCCCTAAATATTAAAATGTGCGGATTATCTTGAGCGGCATTGCGAATTTTATTATGCAAAATTGGATTTATAAAATCTTATGGTCTACATAATGGCGAAGGTCGTGTGTTCGTTTGCGTAGACGAGGTACCAACGATATAATTTCCTCGGGTCAACCGCATGACGTATGCAGTTTTGTACAAAGGAATCTCTCAAGGCCAACATTTTCAAATTTAGAGCTGAAAATTCTGTTTTTCATGCATGAAAATGCATTAATTTGTTAGCTGATGTTAATATTTGTGCATATACTTATGTCCTTTCCATATAAATTAACTGCTGCGTGTGTGCTGATGGCGTGATGAAATTGTACGTGTATGTGTTCACAGGTCAACTTTACTGTCGACGAAATCCGTACCTTGATGGACAAGAAGCGGAACATCCGTAACATGTCCGTCATTGCTCACGTCGATCATGGCAAATCAACTTTGACCGATTCCTTGGTAAGTAAAACCATTACAATTTGTTGAGCATACACTTTCCTTTTCGTGTTATGACGTCAGCAATAGCTATTTCACAACCTGTTTAATAACTAGATATTTTCATTTATTTGTTGTAGGTGTCGAAAGCCGGTATTATTGCTGGTGCCAAGGCTGGTGAAACCCGTTTCACTGACACCCGTAAGGATGAACAGGAACGTTGTATTACCATCAAGTCAACGTAAGTTTGAATATTACATATATATTATTTTATATACCATGTTGTATACTTCTAATGACTTCAAATTTAATAAATTACGTATCTGTATTTCAACAGGGCCATTTCTATGTACTTCGAAGTTGAAGAAAAGGATCTTGTCTTCATCACCCATCCCGATCAGCGTGAAAAGGAATGCAAGGGTTTCTTGATCAATTTGATCGATTCACCCGGTCACGTTGATTTCTCATCTGAAGTAACTGCTGCTCTACGTGTAACTGACGGTGCCTTGGTCGTCGTCGATTGCGTGTCTGGTGTATGTGTACAAACCGAGACTGTATTGCGTCAAGCCATCGCTGAACGTATTAAGCCAATTTTGTTCATGAACAAAATGGACCGTGCTTTGCTTGAATTGCAATTGGAAGCTGAAGAACTGTATCAAACTTTCCAGCGTATCGTTGAAAACGTGAACGTCATTATTGCTACGTATAACGATGACAGTGGCCCAATGGGTGAAGTGCGTGTTGACCCCTCCAAGGGTTCCGTCGGTTTCGGTTCTGGTCTGCACGGATGGGCTTTCACTCTTAAGCAGTTTTCCGAAATGTACTCTGAGAAATTCAAGATCGATGTTGTCAAGCTAATGAACCGGTAAGTCTATAAGCTTAGTTATCTCATACTTCCCGAGTTAGTTATAAGTAGGTTAGTAGTAATATGTGAGAGATGTTATGCTTTTAGCACAATTTGTGTTGCACGCAAGAAATATGCTCAATTTGGACTTGTCTAAATAGGTATATTTCTAATGACCGTGCTACAAGTGCAACGCCAATAAAAGCAGATTAAACAGGTATGCTGTTTCTGCGGCTCCAAGATCGACGCTTTGTAACGCTGTTCTGGAACCTCTTTCTTAATGTTCAATCGGAATAAGTTGAAGATTTGTCGAAATAATTATATAACATGTTAGAAAGTAGTATTAGCAGGGTGTGGTACAGATAAGGTGATGAAGATTATTTATTGCCTATAAATGCATTTCTTGTTGTTATGCAGTGCTTAATACATCATTTTGTGTTTCGTCTTTATTAAAGTCTATGGGGTGAGAACTTCTTCAACGCCAAGACCAAGAAATGGCAAAAACAAAAGGAAGCCGATAACAAGCGCTCCTTCTGTATGTACATCTTGGACCCCATCTACAAAGTGTTCGATGCTATCATGAACTACAAGAAGGAAGAAATCGGCACCTTGTTGGAAAAGATCGGTGTTGCTATCAAGCACGAAGATAAGGACAAGGATGGCAAAGCTTTGTTGAAGGTTGTTATGCGCACATGGTTGCCAGCTGGTGAAGCTTTGCTTCAGATGATTGCCATTCACTTGCCTTCACCTGTGGTTGCTCAGAAATACCGTATGGAAATGTTGTACGAGGGTCCACACGACGACGAAGCTGCCGTCGCCGTAAAGAACTGTGATCCTGATGGTCCATTGATGATGTACATTTCCAAAATGGTGCCGACTTCTGATAAGGGACGTTTCTATGCCTTTGGTCGTGTGTTCTCCGGTAAGGTCGCTACAGGCCAGAAGTGCCGTATCATGGGCCCCAACTATGTGCCCGGTAAGAAGGAAGATTTGTACGAAAAGGCCATCCAACGTACAATTTTGATGATGGGTCGTTATGTTGAAGCCATCGAAGATGTGCCTTCCGGTAACATTTGCGGTCTCGTCGGTGTCGATCAATTTTTGGTCAAGACCGGTACCATCACCACATTCAAGGATGCCCACAACATGAAGGTGAGCCATGTGGATTATTAAATGTTAATACTAAATTGTTTTATGATGATTTTTACACAGACCTGTTCTGAAAAGTAATGAGCGATTTGTTATTTTTTCTGATTTTTTTTTATGTTTCAATTGCATTGGTTTTATTTTTTTGGCAAAAAATTTAATACTATTTTTGTATTTGTTTTTTTGTGGCTTTTAGGTGATGAAATTCTCCGTGTCACCTGTCGTGCGTGTTGCCGTCGAGCCCAAGAACCCTGCTGATTTGCCAAAATTGGTGGAAGGTCTTAAGCGTTTGGCCAAATCCGATCCTATGGTGCAATGTATCATTGAAGAGTCTGGCGAGCATATCATTGCTGGTGCCGGTGAATTGCATTTGGAAATTTGCTTGAAGGATTTGGAAGAAGATCACGCTTGCATTCCATTGAAGAAATCCGACCCTGTTGTATCATACCGTGAAACCGTATTCGAGGAATCCAACCAAATGTGCTTGTCCAAATCGCCCAACAAGCATAATCGTTTGCTGATGAAAGCTTTACCTATGCCTGACGGTTTGCCCGAAGACATTGACAACGGTGATGTCAGCTCCAAGGACGATTTCAAACTTCGTGCCCGTTACTTGGCGGAGAAATACGATTATGATGTGACAGAAGCCCGTAAGATCTGGTGTTTCGGTCCTGACGGTACCGGCCCTAACTTCATTTTGGATTGTACCAAATCCGTGCAATACTTGAATGAAATTAAGGATTCCGTTGTTGCTGGTTTCCAATGGGCATCGAAGGAAGGTATCATGGCTGAAGAAAACTTGCGTGGTGTACGTTTCAACATTTATGATGTGACGTTGCATGCTGATGCTATCCATCGTGGTGGTGGTCAAATCATTCCAACAACTCGTCGTTGTTTGTACGCTTCAGCTATTACAGCCGGACCACGTCTGATGGAACCCGTTTACTTGTGCGAAATTCAATGTCCCGAAGTTGCTGTCGGTGGTATCTATGGTGTATTGAATAGACGTCGTGGTCATGTCTTCGAAGAAGCTCAAGTTGTTGGCACACCTATGTTCGTTGTCAAGGCTTACTTGCCCGTAAACGAATCGTTCGGTTTCACCGCCGATTTACGTTCCAACACCGGTGGACAAGCTTTCCCACAATGCGTGTTCGACCATTGGCAAGTGTTGCCCGGTGATCCATGCGAACCCAGCAGCAAACCATACCAAATTGTACAGGATACACGTAAACGTAAGGGTTTGAAGGAAGGTCTACCCGACTTGGCCCAATACCTCGATAAATTGTAAGCGCACGAAGCTGTCAATTTAGTATGTGTTTGTTGATGTGCGCCGAAGAGAAGAAGAAATTATACAAAATAATAAAAAGATAATTACATAATTACAACAATATAAAAATAACATACATATATATTTTTCATAATTTGAATTTGAGGCACATGGAACTGTAGTAATTAGTTGATCGGAGCGCAATTTCAATTTGATAATTTGTGTAAGCGATTAATTTCAATGTACTGCATACTTTTCTACTTTATTTTAATTAATTTTATTTAATGTGACTCAAATATTGGTTGTTTTCTTTCTTTGTTTTTGAAAGTTAAATTTGTGAATTTGTTAGGCGTTTAAATTCTATTAGTTCCTTTATGGAAATTGATTTTTCGCAATTGCCGAAATGTTAAGTCGTTTAAAATCGTTGCTGGGAAAATGTTTCTTGTTTAGGCTTTGGAGTTTTCCTCAGTTTTTGAGATGTCGATCTGAATTCTTACACACCTACTTTTCTCTACAAGAGGCTGCTCATAAGTCGGAACCGCCGATATCGGACCACTATAGCATATACATAGCTGCCATACAAACCGATCAATCGAAATAAAGTTTTTGTATGAAAAAATCTTATTTGACAAGATGTCTGCACGAAATTCGGCATGTATTATTGTCATAGGTAATGCTATAATCACCGAATGACTAGCATATAGCTCCCTTACGAACTGACCGATTAAGATCAAGTCTTTGTATGGGAAACTTGATTATTTTTATTATCTTCACGAAATTGGGCACCCAAGTATGTTGTTGTCGTTGTTGTAGCGACAGAATTCTGCCGAGTTGACAGTCCTTGGCCGGAATAGATCCGGGTCCGTTCTGGTTACGTAGACCCGACTGTCGTGGGAACGGTATATTATTGCCTAATGCAATTCTATAATATCCGAACATATTGTTCAGATCGAACGTCTATAGCTTATAAATATGTAGCTGTTACACAAACTGACCGATCAGACCAAAGTTGTTGTAACGGTTATCTAATCCCCGCTTGGGTGGTAAGTTTAAGTTTGGTTGTCGTCGTCGAGGTCTCTAACGGGAGGCCCAGGAAACGAGCTGTTTCGACGATGTCGGACAATAGGGAGAGGTGTGTTAGATAAGTGCGGTTCTTTGGGCATGCAAAGAGAATGTTAGTCTTCGCATGACACTCATTGCATGCTGGACATATATTTAGTATGTCGGGGTCGATTCTGGACATCTAGGAGTTGTGCAGACGAAGTCACCGTTTTTTGATTTTGTTATTTTTTTATTATTTATTTATTTTTTTATTTTATTATTGTTTATTTATTTTATTAATATTTATTTATTTTGTTATTATTTATTTATTTTATTATTATATATTTATTTTATTATTACTTATTTATTTTATTATTATTTATTTTTTTATTTTTTAATATTTTTTGAATATATTTTTTATATCTTTTATATATTTTTTAATATTTTTTTTTATATTTTTTTATATTTTTATATTTTTTTTATATTTTTTTTATATTTTTAATTGTTTATTTTTTTTAAATTTATTATTTTTGTTTTATTTATTAATTACTTTTAATTTATTTTTATTTTACTTATTAATTATTATTTTATTTACTAATTATTATTTTTTATTTATTTATTTTTATTATTTATTTATTTTTATTATTTGTTTATTTTTATTATTTATTTATTTTTATTATTTATTTATTTTTATTAGTATTTTTATTTATTATTATTT